TGGCACTGTGATGGCGATATGTTTGTCTGCATTATACTACCACCTATAGGATACTCTTTATAGCATTGGTAACATGTCTGCCAACTTATAGGACAATGGCGCGATATTTCGAATTTTTATCTCAGTTTTACGGTTTTCATTTGACTCACCCTCGTATAATCACATCATGTATAATTTTATGATTTCTACAAACTGAATAAATGAAACAATACTGTTACAAAGAGATTCATTTGGTGAAGTTATTATATCATTACTTACAGCTGTATGTACAAAACAATGGAACATTAAGCAACTCGAATAAAAACGTATGACACATGTGATAGCCCAAAGGTAATCCATGCATGATTTAGTAACATCCAAAAATACAGCTCATAATAAACAATAATTCATAATTTGAAGATGGCTGTCTCCTGGGTTACTGTATCATTGAGTTCAGTACAAGTTTAATGATGCTTCAGAGGTGCTTATTGCCTCCACTATCAGAGTGATGAGTAAGCTGCACAAGGATCAGTTTGAAATATGAGAACCAGTTGGACAAGGCAGAACCTTGGCCAAACCTGTGGGGAAGGGAGTGAGAACAAAGGAGCTAATGGGATAAGAGTAGACCAGATCCTGACCAGGAGGAGGAGGGAAAGATAGGTTTACCTTGGACATGTGTGACAGAGGGAGAGGAAAGGGGAGATTGCTGGGCAGAAGCAAATGAGGACATTAGGTAAACATTAAAGAAGAGGTATGGCATGATGGATGGAGACAAGAAAAAGGAGAGTACAGGAAAAAAGACAAGAAAGAAAAGTTTATTTTTCCTTCTTTCCTTTCCATTCTTCATACCATTTCATTTGTTCCTTCTATTCTCAGTGATCTGCTATTGGTTGCTGAGAGGCACTGATAAGGGCTATTTGAGGTTTTCACAGCGATGATCGCCCTGATGACGGAGGCAGTATGACCTCTGAAACGTTGGTTAACATCGACCAGACTACACAGCGCAACAACCCAGAAGATGGAAATCTTCTATTTCCTTTTCTTTATCTTTCTTGCATATCTGAGCTACACATGTCTTCCTCCACTCCTTCTAGCCAGGCTGTGATCTGCTCTTCTCCTACTGGCTCCCTTGCCCTCTACCCCACTGGTCTAACCAAGGTTCTACCATATCCAACTGCTTTCCATATCTCAAATCTGATACCTTGAGAGCTGCTTACACACTGCTCAGATGATGGAGATAGAAAGCACTTTTGAAATGTTGGTAAACTATTATCAGACTACACAGTGCAACAACCAAGCCCAGAAGATAGCCATATTAATACTCCTCACTGTGAGAACCTGAAATCTCACAATACATAATTTGTATTCTTCAACAAATATCATCGGGTAATAAAATGAAGAAGAATGAGTTAGGTAAACATGCAGCATGCACCAATAGCTGAAAAATGCATAGATTTTAGTAAAAAAAACCCTGAAGGAAATAAGCCACTTGGGAGATCTGGGCATAGATTGGAGGAAGACATGGTGATGGGACTTAACATGTTCAATCCTGTATCCACTTTTGGTCCTTTTCTGCTGCCTTGTCTAGACTAACAAATCTGACCTAGGCTAAAAGATAAGATGTTGTGAAAAGAAACAAAAAGATTTCTCTTTCAGAACACTTCAAGAAGAAATCTGTTCCATAGACTTAGTTACATAAAAATTAATCAAGCTTGGTTCTATTAAAAAAATAAAATGATCTTAAAGTAGTGAGAAAGGGAGGAAACTTACTTTACAACCACTTAGAAAAAACTGAACACAACTCATATAATAAAGGGTGATTAACGCAAGTGTCAGAAATATAAAAATGTACAATATTAATAGACCTAGATGAATACGAGGGGCAGTCAAAAAGTTTCCGGAATTGTGGTATAGCACTGTAATGGTAGGACATATGGCAACGCTTACCTAATCACCTTCAAAGTAGGACCCTTGCGCACACACACACTTGCTCCATCGATCCTGCCATTGTTGGAAGCACCGGCGGAAGGCTTCGTTTGGAATCTTCCGGAGTTCAGCCGTCACATTCGATTTGATGTCCTCCATGGTTGCAAAACGCGTCCCCTTGAGGCCCATTTTCAGAGTAGGGAACAGCCAGAAGTCACTCGGAATGAGATCCGGAGAGTATGGTGGTTGGGTGACGACAGTAATGCTTTTCTCAGCGAGGTGTCGAATGCGACGGCCGAACTCCGGAAGATTCCAAATGAAGCCTTCCGCCGGTGCTTCCAACAATGGCAGGATCGATGGAGCAAGTGTGTGCGTGTGCAAGGGTCCTACTTTGAAGGTGATTAGGTAAGCGTTGCCATATGTCCTACTATTACAGTGCTATACCACAATTCCGGAAACTTTTTGACTGCCCTACGTATATTTATAATATTACAGGACGCTGTTTTATACATCAGTAGGAAAACAAATATATGCATTTGTTTGAATACTGAAAACATAAAATACAGTGTCAATGTTACCTGAAGGAACCATCAAAATATAACTGATGTGCTGATGATTTATTTTGTTCCTTGCATGTTTCAGTCCACCTTTGCCATCATCAGGTTTGTGTAATACACACACATATCTTCTTACAAAACACTCTGCTCCGTAAAGCATGTAATAACATTCATGCAATAAAATATGGTTAATAATTATAATATACAAAGTACAAATAAAAATAAAAGTAAAATGTAAACATCTAATTAATACAGGCTGAGAATTTTCATGATCAAGCATCTCAACAGTTTAAAAACATTAAAATATAACACGGAAATGTACTTCATGGTGTGAGCTACTTAATGTCATGTTTCTGTGGTATAAGCTGCCGTAGTGAATGAAGCTGAACTATATGTGGCTGTGATAGTTGAGTATACACTACAACATACACACCACACACATTTAAACTTTAAATGGTTAAACTTTCATGGTTCCTTTAACAAACAATATGTGAAATATAAAAGCATGGCATCCAATATGAAAGTTAAACACGGTCAGCTAGTAATAAAAAACTTGTTTATGGAACATAAAATAAGCAATTTAATTTTCTTCTGTATGGAATGAAATATAAGATATTCTGCATACCTGAAACTGGATACAGATATTGTTTAGTTTGAAAATTTATCTAGTATTATAACTGTTTCTTCACAGGGAATGTGAAAGATGAAACCGAACACAGATAATGGACTAATGAACTAGAGACAAAAGTAAAGTACATAAAGTAAGAAATATGTATCAATATTTCCTACTGAAACTTAATATGATAAATATGAGATTTGTAACCTACCCTCGTGACCAGACCTCCAACTTGATGCCGTGTCTCTTGAACACTCGCTGGCAAGCACGTGAGTTACGATGAATTGTCAGATTGAAGGTAGAATTATATTCAGGGTTATTTGTGTCTTTTACCAAGGATGTTCGGTCCTTTGGTGGATCCTCCTGCACAATAAATATCATGATTTGTGAAACAGCAACAAAAATTACTTGCTCATAGCTCACTATAGGAAGTTACTTACACTGGGATAGGGGAACTCAAACTTCACATATGTGTCCACATCCTTCGGGTTAGATACAGTGTAATTGATTCCTTGTATAATTGTCAATTCAAGGTCATTGTCACCCAGATCTGTACAGCACCTAGAAGCATGAATGTTAGTGAAGGTAAGCAATGCTGCTTTGAAAAACAAAAAAACACATTTATAATGCAGCAACAGCATCAACGTAGACCTAAATGACCAGTTCCATTCACACAGAAATACTTAAGAATATTAAAATGTATCTTCCATTGCTTTCTTCAGGGTCCAATATCTCTGTAGCTAATGGGTTTATAAGACATAATGTGCTATTGTCTGCAGTTTCATTCATGAGAGATTTTGATGCCATTCTATTTTACATGACTGAATACTTTCACCAATATTAAATATCTGTAGTTCTTCACGTACAGTTGTATTTCATCTTGAAGGGTATACCCAGTGACTCATCTTAAAATTATATTCATATTTTTCTAATAAACTGACACACAACACAGGTATGCCATTACACTCTCTGGGATTTCAAGAGGCAGTACTTTATTAACCAATAAGATACATAATGCTACTGTTCAAATCATAATCCCCATCTTAACATTTATTTCAGCATATGAAAAGCATTTTGGATGTATAAAAAAGCTTTAGTAAAAAATTAAACCATTTCTACTTCTTCTCTCTCTCTCTCTCTTTTTTACATCTGCATCATGTTTGAACTTACGGCTACAAAGCATACCATTAAATGAACCAAACATGCACAGTAAAATTTCAGTATAACAAATTTCTGTGCAATGGCAAATTATATTTTTAATACTGACATTTTATCATAATGAAAGGTAGGAAAAACAAATTAATGACATATTTATTGTTTTTACAAAGGTCAATCGATTTTACCAAATAAGAGGCACACCACCTGTTCATAATGCTATTAACAAGTGTAAAAAGAATTGTTTACTCCACTATTGTGATGTGACCTAGAACAATCTGACATTTACATGATTATGTATAATTACCCTTTACCAGCTGATTGTGTAAATTACCATTTATCAGCTATGTGTAAAGGTTTGTTTATGCACAGTTTGGCTGGCTATGCATCACAGCAGCATACAACGGCATATACTGTTAATTGTTAGACTGAATCTGGCAGCTGACATGGCACACTTCTCACAAAGATCCGGTAGCCAGTTACTCACGGCCTGCATTTCTGCTGCAGTTTAACTTAACTTATTTCATAGAAAAGTTACAAAGTAACGACCCTCTATATTTAAATATGCCTCACATTGTAAAAATATGTTCCTAGACACACGCCTCAGCTACTGTACAGGAATAGCTGAATTTCATGCCCAATATTTTCTTGAACTTCTTCCAAAGAGTGCAGATTGTTCACATACACATTCTCTTTCAGCATGCCCAACAAATAAAAGTCACAAGGATTTAAACTGGGTAATCACAAAAAGCCACAATCCCCAACTTATAACTCGTTTGCTGAATACTTCATGTAATGCAACTACAGAATTGAAGATGGCTGTCTTCTGGGTTTTTGTGCCTTGTAGTCTGGTAGACGTTTTTTCAGAGGTCCTTGCTGCCTCCATCGTCAGGGTGATCTCTGATGATGGAGGCATATGTATCATATACAAACAATTTCTGTTCAGCTCTTTACTTCATTTTCAAGCTCTGTGCTTCACAACACTGTGAACCGTACTTGTACATATCTCAAGGACATCTAACTACGCTAATCACACAGCAATATCGAGATATGCCAGCAAGCATCGAGTGAAAAAAGACACTTCGGCGGCCAGCAGTGGACATGCATGGGCAAATAGATTTTTAGCCGGCCAGTCTAAGGGCAAATGGGATTCCTTTAAAAAAAAACGTTTAATCGTTTAAAATACAAATGACCACCTTGTAGTATGGAGGTTTAAATCTCCTTTCCCATACAGTAAAGGTCATTATATGTTCCTTGCAAAAGCACTCACACAAGAAGTGTTTTGAAAATTTGTATGAATTTCATGCCATATGGGGATACCTGGGAGCCAGATTTTCATTTGCCATTTCATAGCACACCACCCACTGACAATGGAATTGCATTCTAATCCCTTATTTCACTGTCCGATGTGGCACTTTTGTCACCAGATTCTTAACTGTCAGCCATTTCATTATCACTGTCACTATACTCTACTATTAAAAGATTTCCATCCATAAAGGAAAAAGTTTCAAAATATGATAAGCACTCACTTTGTTCTATGACATACTACATTTTAGGGGAACTGAGGTAGGTGGAAGGTTTTTACGATATACTGAGCTCACAGCAAAAATTTTCATTACAATATTTCCATCTCATAGTTTACTGAACTGACATTTTGGCATATATGTGTATCCTGTGTGTGTTTGTGCATGCGTGTATGGATACATGTATGGCTGTGACATCTAGTACACATTTAACAAACTATATAAAAGAAACTGCAGTAATTTTTAATTCAGAACCACCACTTACATTGCCAGTACAACATATGCTTGTGAAGGACTAACAGTCTCAATAAATTTTTAAAAATATTGTTAAAAATAATTTTTATGGGAATGGGGTTTTCCTGCATTGCACTGAAATGTCAATATATAGCAACATCTGTTATTGTGAAATATTTTTGCATATGAGTACAGTAGGGCCCCGCTTTTCGGCGCTCCGCTAATACGGCGCTCAACAGCTGAGTCAGAGAAGTGCGTCCAGCGCCATTTTCTCATCGCTGATTCAGTCTGTTTACAGCTTTTGTGCGCTCCGCGTCTCTCTGTATTTCTGGCAATTTTTCAGTTATTACAAACTGTATATTTATATAATATTTTTGTGTTACTACAGTGTAATTACAA